TGAAAAAAGACACCCACCGCAAGAGTTTAATAGATTCCCTTTGACGGATGCAGCGCTGAACCATTTTCTCAAACAAAGATCCCATAGTGCCATAGAGGAAAGACGGTCACACGCAGGTCTGCTAAAATCGACCTCCCTACCAACCCCCCCCTGTCCCCTGTCCAAAAAAAGACGAATGGTTTCCCTTCGCTGTCCCTTTCACACCCAAAAACTGGGCCTGCGCCCGGCTTCTCCGGCACCGCTTGTGGTAAGGGCGCCAGCCCCCCGTGTGACGCCGCAAAGGGCTCCTAAGGGTCCGCAGAGTGTCCGGGGGGAGCAGTTGGCGGAGCAGAGTCGGGCAACAGGATGGACCGAAACTTCTCGGTTGGCCGCGTCTCGCAAATGGTTGATGGATTGATTCTAAGCATGGTTCTAGCATACTAAGCGGGTTGAACATCCATACGCATCCGCGTTGACTGATGAACTAAATCTTGTCATTCAGCGCACCTTGCAAAGCTACTTTTGACACACTCGGCCGTGCACCCTCAAGAAGCCAAACAAAATGTTCTGCTTTGTCTTCGTTCTTTGTGGCCATGTTGATAGGTTCTGACGACGGAATGTTTGATGCGATGAAACGACGTTGTTTCAACATCAACTTGCAAGGGAGTAACTCGTCCCAAAACCAAATTTGCCCCACCCTCGTCTGAGCACTTCCGCCCAGTGCTCCGCCGAAGTCTTTTCCAGGCCCGCAATTCCAGGGGTAAATCCGAACTTCGCCATTCTTTGCAGGATCCGTCTTTCCAGTTCAAACCACCATACACGCAGCTGGTGTTGAGCCCAGGCAAATGCTTGAAAGTTGAAAAGATCTGGCTCACTTGCCAGGACATGGAAATCAAAGGTTCATCTTTCATCTTGACCTAACCCAAAATGGGAGAATGGCTTTCCTGCCGGTTTCCCTTTAACCACAACAACGGGGCACCCTTTCTCCCACTAACATAACAGCTAGCAGTGCCCCCTCCAAGAGGAAATTGATCCTCCTGGTACCTTTGCAGAGATGCTATGTTAGTGGGGAGGGTGCCAACTGGCCATGGGGCATAACCTATGGCTCCATGGAGACTTTGGGGATGCCTCCGCGGGGTAAAAACGCCCCATGCCAAGCGGCCCCGCCGAAATCGGGAAAACGAGTTGGGGGCCGGAAATAAACACAACAGTGGGGTGGGGGTGGGGGGGGAAGGTGGGGGTGATGTGATCTTGAGATATCTTGAGTGTACGGCATGCCTCTCTTGAAAGTGTACGACACGTCCCTCTTGAAGGTACAATGCTAACACACTATGTAAAAATTCATATGTCCCGATCTTGGAGTGCTACGCGCATGCCTGGCCAAACACGAAAGCAAGTGCACGACAAAGGGTATTCCCTCCCTCCCCCCCAAACCGACCCCACCCCGAACACCCCCCCATTTTGGGGTGGATGAAAATCCATGTGCCACCTATTTTGATGTTCACCAGAGGTTTTGTGGGCTTTGATCCACAGCCAACTCTAAAGAGAGACCCATTTCAGGTCCAACTCTGAAGAGACCCATTTGGCTGTGGGTCAAAAACAGGTACCCACAATGGAGTGCGCTGGTAAGAGGCATGGACTAAAATCTGCGGTCCGGTGGTTTAATTTGGACCCACAGCCATTTCCGGTCGATCCCTCACGACGATCCCCTCGCCACCGGGGCCCCGTGCCAAGCTCACGCCCACAGCCGCCGCCTCCGCAAGCCGCTGTGAAGCCAAGGCCACGGACACCCGCAGGCACCGCGGCAGGACCTGGCGACTGACGCAACTTTGGCCGAGGGTTAACTGGGCTGCCCGGTTTCTGATCCCCTGCGAAAAGTGACCAACTTTTTGTGGGTTAAATGGAAACCCCCACTAAACACTAAAAGGCTAAAAAGCTAAGGGGATGGCTGGGAGCCACCAAGTTAAGGATCCAAATGGGATTTCTCCTTCTGATTGCAAGCAAACAGCCCAGCCCGAACTTGCTCCGGTTTCACTCAAACAGCCCAGGAACTTTCGAAACCAGGCCATGTTTGATACAAAACACGTTTTGAAGTGTATCTGAGTATCTGTCAAAGGACGCTTCGGCGAGAGCCGTGGCAAACCCCGCCGTCGCCTGGGCGCTGAGTTGCGGCGCCAAACTGCGCCAGGTCTCAAGGACCCCCAGGCCCAACATGGCGTCTGGCTCGAAGCCTCCCGCGCTCGCCAAACCGAAAGCGCTTTCGGCTCGGGGCACCGTTTTGTTTGTTTGAGGGGGGGATGGATGAAAAAACGGTTCGGGGCCACTGATGTCCCACTTGAAAAGATGACCAGCTTGATGGACTCCAATGAAACTGCCACTATCGGGGGAATGCTTTTTTTTGTCCTGGGCCGGAGCCGGGCCGGAGCCGGGCCTAGTGCACTATCGAAGGGCCAACTTGGAGATTGAGGGACTGCCGACAGTCCGACCGAGGCGGTGGGACAGAGATTTAGCGAAAAGAGCCGCTTGGCCAAGAAATGGCTTGGCAACATGTACGTAAGGGAAAGTCGTGAAACAAGTTTCGACTGAGAGAGGAACATCTGTGTATCACAAGACATGGTGGGCCAAAAAGAGGAGTGTGCAAGTGAAGTGGGAAGGTGCCTGAACAAGCATCATCAGTTTCTTCTCAAAAGGGGGAGCGATCAACATCAGCCAGTGTTGGTGAATGCAGTAGGGAAGAGCATGATGTAAGCTCAAGAATCCTCTCCAGTAGGCCACCCAGCGAAGAGATTGAGAAAGGGCAAGGGAACGGTTGCCTTTTCTCTTCAAAGGGATCCCACACATGTGTGTGTATATACATGTATGTGTATATGTATACGCATGCATCCATGTGTTTGTATGTATGTGTATGTAAATAAAACATATAGACTCCCCCTTCCCCGCACTCCGGGTGCTAAAAAAAACAAAAACACAAAACAACAAAAACAAAAACACGGTGATCTGTTTGTGACTGGCCATGTACGTGTATATATATATATATATGTGTGTGAGTGTGTGAGTGTGTGAGTGTGAGTGTGAGTGTGAGTGTGAGTGTGTGTGTGTGAGTGTGAGTGTGAGTGTGAGTGTGAGTGTGAGTGTAAGTGTGTGTGTGTGTGTCTGTGTCTGTGTGTGTCTGTGTGTGTGTGTCTGTGTGTGTGTGTGTGTGTGTGTGTCTGTGTGTGTGTGTGTGTCTGTGTGTGTGTGTGTGCGTGTTTGTGCGTGTGTGTGTGTGCATACATGTGTATGTGGATGTATATCAAGACGGCACGTGTATGTGCATATGTGCATGTAGCTATGTATGTATAAGTGTATGTCTGTGTAAACACACAAGTCTGTGTGTGTTTATACACTCCATATACTGCATGTTGTATATTGTATACTGTATACTCCATACTGTGTACTCCATAATGCATGCGTATTATGTGTACTGTGTATGTATGTGTATACGTATGTGTATAGGTATACGTGTACGTATATGAAGACGTATATGTATGTGCATATGTATCTGCATGTGTACTTGTGTTTGTATATGTGAACACACATGCAAAGGTATGTGCAGTTGCAAATGCACATGCATGTATATATATGTATATATATATATAACTAGTATATAATACATACATCTGCATACGTGAAGGTATGTGTCAAGGCATATGCATTGCACATATGCATACGCAAGTGCATGCACATGCACATACATATGCGCATGTGGATGTGTATATGTATCGATCTGTGCACGTGTCTAGTGTATGTACATGTAACTGTACGCCCGAAGCCTGTATACGGACAGCATGGATGTATATGTACATGTACCTGACGGTATATGTGAACGTAAGCGCGTTTGCATATGCCTTCGCAAAGTCACATGTATGTGCAAATGCGCATGCCTGTGTTACAAGGGTGTATATGGAGATTGATCAATATTCCGTTCGGCCCCCAGTTTTGATCATGGGTAACTGTTCTCCCAATTTTGGTGGTTGGAATGCCAAGGTTTTTCGTGGTTTTCCCATGGTCATCCCATGCTTTTCGTGGTTTTCTCCATGGTCATCCCATGTATCGCGGATCTTTTGATCAACCCGTCCCAGCGCCCCAGCCTTCCAGGGCGCAGGCATCAAAGCTCGGCAGATCCAGGCCATCCGCATCTCCAGCCACGGACACATCCACAGCGTTGTCGCCTCACACTCCCAACCTGGGCCCGACTTTTCCATTTTTTGTTGGCGCCTGGTTTCGTGGGGGATGTCGCTTCCCGTGGATTTTCCCAAAAACAAAAACAAGTCTCAAGGAGTCCAAACTGTTTCTTGCCGCTACACTGGTCTTCCCAAAACGTGTACAGTCCCGGAACTCAGGGAGTGAGGGATTCTCCCCACTTTTGGGGTCGCCCCAGAAATCAAAGCGGCTTGGATCAATTTCACCAGGAACCTGAGGGAAGGTACGACAGGTTGCGTGGTGGCAGGGAAAGGGAAAGGTATCTGGTTTGCACAAATTTGGTCCAAATCAATTTGGCCCTTCCCTTGGATTTGGTCCAAATCAATTTGGTCCAAATCGGTCCAGGGCAACATGGGAACAAGGACTCTTACCCGCGTTTTCTGTGAAATGCAGCTCCAATCAACCCTCAACAAATGCCCGTTGATGTATTCACAGTCCTTCGAAGTCCAAAAAGACACAAATTCATGCGGTGTTCACGTTGGGAGATCATCCATACTGTGGATGGTTGCGAGTTGCGAAATGCAATTCGCACCACTTGAAAACCATGCTTGAAACCATAACGTTGGTTGGTATTTACGTAGCCGAATGGAATCATTCCCGGGTTTCTTTGCGAGAAGCGGGTTTCGTCCCGGCTTCACCCTGCCACGTCGCGCATCAGCTGCCGCAGCAGCGGCACGTGCTCCGGCGGCGCCAGGAGCACCACGGAGCAGCCGAGATCTCGGGCCGCGTGCACCGCTGAGACCTGCGTCTTGCGATTTGAGGGACCCAGCTTGGAGATGCTCGAGAAGAACCGAGGAAAAAAACCGCCACTAGCACCAACCTGACAGAAAAACGCCTGGCAAGCTCTCTTATTTGTTTGGTTGGGCCTGTCATAGTTGGCTTCTCTAATTGGTGAGATTGGTGGTTTGGAGGAATCCATTTACCCTAAAGAATGGGTGCACATCCCCAAACCACGAAATTTCAACCACCAACTAAGGGTTAGGGTAAATTGTATCCGGTTTAGGCCCCGATCTATTTTGACACATACTCACCAGTCGGGCAAAACTTGCTTGAAAGCTGTCCCACGGGAATCACCATGTTTTTCTCGCATTAGCACAACCCTGGTGCAAACTTTAATCCCACTTGCCATGACCTGAAAAGTTTAGGTGATCACTCATCACCTTTGACCACCTTAGGGGAAACATGCACTTACATGGGAAAACTAAACTTGGCTCAGATCCCCTGCTAAAAGTGACTAACTGTTAGTGGGTTAAATACGGAAACCCAACCACTAAACCACCTAAACAGCTAAAAGCTAAGGGACCGGACGGCTGGATGCTCAAATGGAAAATTCGAACAGTCCCCATCACCACATGCCACGAATACCCTCGACACGTGGAACCCGACTGGGCTGACTGCTCCAAGACCATGTTCCTTTAAACAGGACCCTCTGCTGGGTTCCATGTTAGCGGGACCGGCGGGCGGCAATAACCATTTTCGCAACCCCCGGGTGAGCTCCTTCGTTTTTTGTGCTGGAAAAAGGGAAGCCGGAATACACACAAGATGTTCAGGCAGAGGATTTGTCCAGGATCTTGCTTCCAGCTTCCCTCCAGAAGGTTCTTGCTGCTCACACCTGTTTTTGTCCAGACTGAGCCCTTTCGCGGGCAAAAGGCCACCGCTCAGCCGCTCAGCCGCTCAAACGTGACTCTAAGGCTGGTTCCTTTGCAGCGTGCTGCAACTTTTTTCTCAATGTCACCCAGCCCTAGGTGCGAGTTGGTGAGTTGCGGAGCCCGCGAGTGCCAAGTTGGGGGGCTGGAATGAATGCAGCCACGACGTGAACAATCGGATTCCCACGGGTTGACCAAAACATCGCTAAAATACAGCGATGATGAAACTGTTGGGTTCAAGTGCCAGGAATCAGTGAAGCAACCCTCACTGAGCTGGCAACTGGTTTGGGGCACCACTTGAATGATCCAAAGTTGGTGGCGCCTAATGGGCCTCTTTGGGACACGACCAACAACTGGAACAAAAAAGTGGGAAAGGGGGCATGCAGCTGAACACCTAATTAGGTTGAACAATAGCACATGGTTTGCCCTCTAAGACCTTGTTACTCAAGGCAGAGGCACCACCAATGGAATTGGAACCAGCTCTTGGATGTTCAAATCAAAACTAAAAGGAAAGACCAATTGTACATGCCCGTATGGTGCATCTGTCTGCATATATCTGTATCTTCCAAAATCATATCAAACTAATTTTAGAAACCGCCCGTCTGGACTTTCCCGCCGAGTGGCGCCAAGCCCCCCCAGAACCAGCAGCCGCCCAGGCCGCAGCTGGCTCAACTCTTCGCAGAGATGGTCGTAGTAGGACCACTGCTGCTCCTAGGTTCCAGTGTGGATGGAACAAGTCCTGCAGTCTTCGTAGGGCATCCCGACTGCTGCTTGAGTTACGCAGTCCAATGGGCCGAAACCCCGAAAGGATCCTTCACCCCGATCCCAAAAAAGGGCCCAGCGCGTGACAGGGCCCAGGTCGTCGCTTCATAGGAGTTCCCAACCAGGGACAATCGAGTGTCTTCATTTGGGAATCTTTCTGGCTTCCCTTTGAGAAACATCCCAAAGGGATCCTCCAAATTTGAACATCCCCAAACATGAGCTAGTGGTTGGCTCCCCTTTTCTTCTCCCATGAAAGAAGGTCCCACATTTAAGGAACCGCCAATCTGAGCATTTGTTTTCACCCCGACCGCATTTGGCTCAGGTACCGCCAGGCGCGCGCGGTGCGAGAAGGACGCGCAGCGGCTGAGCTGCCGAGCCAGCGACAGCAAGTCCTGAAGTGACGCTTCCCGCCGAGGAGTCCATCTTGGGCTTCGCTCGGGGAATGCGTTGGAAGCCCAAACTTTTACCATCCAACTGGTTTTCTTCCTGGCGTATTTCCCAAACCCGTCGGCATTTCCGGGAACCAGCACATGTTTCAAACATGGGTGACTTGTTGAAAAACTAGATGGCCCTGGCAAATGGACATTTAACCAATCTAAACCTAAAAGGGACACCTATGACCCCAGAACAAACAAATGGGTCCACGTTGATTCGCAAGAGCATTGTCGGGGATGTGGTGGGGTACATTTTAAAAACCAACATGGGTTTGTCTTTTTTCAGGTACACCCCCATCACAAACGGGGTACCCTCCAGCAAAGACACACACCCACATGTTAGTGAGTTAGTTTCCGTTTTTTCGAAGCCCAGGGTGACCAAACCCCTGGTTGACTGATAGGCAAAAGGTGTCCCACTTTAGAGGTCATGGTTGGCATGCGTTTTTTGGGGAAGGGAACTCTCTTGCAAGCATCATCAAGATATCCGGTACTTGCATAAAGCAGCTTATAATCATGGCTATACAAAAGTGCATACGCATATGCATTTGAGTCCATGTATGTCATTACACAATTAGATTTGGCAAATGTATCTTATTCATTCATTTATTTAAATAGTGCCTTAGTTGTACATCTATCTATTTAGTTGCTGTTTAGTATGCACATATATAGAGAGAGAGAGAGAGGTATCTATTTATTTAGTTGCTTGTTTACTTGTCAATTCATGAATTTATGTGTTTGTTTATGAATCTCCCCGTCGAGTTTCAACCATGAAAAGGCGAATATTGACCGGCCATGTCTGATTGATCCATTCAACATGCTTCCGGACAGTCAAGCCGGTGTGCTGCTGGGGATCCTTTCCAGCCTAGTGAAATTATCCTGTAACTAAGAGGAAAGCTCTCTGCTCTCATCCACTGCTTACACATCATGTGTACAAGGTTCAGTCGGTCCCAGACGGTTGTCAACTGCTTGGTCGCCTTTGGCTTGCTTGCGACATCTCATCTGTCCATTCAAATTTTACATGTGTCCCTAGAGTTCAGAACTCATTTTGGCAGTTTGGTGTCCACTTGGGTTGTGACACACGCCCGCCCGAACCCACTCATGCAGCTCACTGCAGTCAGGACCCGAAAAGAGATTGGAATGTTCAACACACTTAGATCATCATTATGGAAATTATGGACATAAAAAGAACTCGTCACAGTTGTCCCAGTAATCACCCACTTGATGTCAACTGATCATCAAGGATCCCTTAGGCATTGTTGCCCGTAATCAATGAGGGGGGTATTCATTGGCTAGCATTCGGTCTTCGGATTCATCCGGAAGACCCCACTCACAGGAACCCTCTGAAACAGTTTGAGTTCTCCTTATACTGAAAGGGGACCGCTCCTGATTGGTACCGTCCTCCGGGTGAATCTAGATATTTAACGTTGACTTCGGATCAATAAACCCGTCCTGTTCTTAGGGGGGTGTTCCCTCCAAAAGTGATAAAGCACCACTAAAAGGGGACACCCCCCTATTAATCAACCAGGTAACCAGGGGTGTATTGATCCTGGAACACTACTGTTAACTTGGGATTGATCCGGAGGACCCAACTCAGAGGAACCCGCTGAAATAGATGTTTTCCTGGCTAAAGGGAAACCCCAGTCCCATGAACCCAGGGTATGCATCCCTAGTTTTTTGGTGAGCCAACCACTTACGGGCTTGTGTTGTGTGTGTGTCTTTCTATAGGAACCTTCAAACATGTCCCACTAGGAACCGAGGAATCCCCCTGGGTCATTTCCATATCAAAGTCAACTCTGGATTACGGTCCCGCAAATTGATTTGAGGTTCCCCTTTAAAGCCACGAAAAAAAGAAGAAGAAACAAAAGGGAGTACCAACTCCAGTAAAACGCCGCCCATTTGACAACTGGGGGCCGGGGGAGTTTTTCAGCAGCCGACGCGATCGACCCGAGTTCTCCTGGATCTCCTCTGGGCGGCCGCCGCATTCCTCCCGATGCCAGCAGTGCCAGCAGAAACCATCATCCAGGTCCTGACGCGTGGGAAACGATGAGGACGCCGTTTCCTGGTAAAAACTAAAATACAAACGCAAATCCACCGCTTATGGAGGGCTCGTCGTTTTTTGGGTACCCTTTTTGGGGGTTGTTCAAATTGTGTGTTGCAACTATATAATCACGTCTATCCATTTGCATCCGAATCCTTGATTTGTGCCCCGGTGCTCGTTGCAAGTCACCAAAAGCGCGCGGCTGTTCAAATGCGGAATTGCAGAAACATGCAGGGAGCCGGCGATGTATGCTGGTACACGCTTTTTTGTGGCTGGAGGATCGATTCCATCTTTGCTGCGGTTGGGGATTGATGTCCTTTCCCAAGCATGTTCGGTACTCCAATCATTGCAATTGGAATCCACCTGGGCGTGCCCAAACCAACATGGGAAGTTTCCTTTGGGCTTCCCTTTAAACATAAACACAAACACGGGGTACCCTCACAAAAAGACAAACCCACCTGCGGCCCAAGGAACCAAGGCCATGCAAAGAGCTGAGGCTCCGGCAGGGTGGCAATCCAGCGTGCAGAGCACCTGCGCTCTACAATTTGACAGACAAGAGCTCTCCTCCACCTTTTGGTTGATAGGTCCAACAGATCTGTCTTTGGTCGACAGATTTGTTTCAGGGGAGGATGTTCCCCTCCGAAGGGTCCGCTGGGGGAGATGGGAAGTGGCATCAGCATCAACCAAAGGTCCAATTATACCCGGTGGATCAATTGGGTTCATGAACCAGCATCCCTTTGATGCGACACCCGAAGGTCACCTGAGGGTACCAGATAATCCTGGAATCTTCATGCCATGTTCGTTCGGCAAGGTATCAACTGTGTCTCGAGGCTAGCCCCTGAAGGGAAACCAGTGTGATTCCCATTTTGGAGCGCTCCTCTCGAGCGAAAAATGTGTCTTCTTGCAATGGAGCCCGCAAAACGAGTCCTATATGACGCATACCAGGTGGTATCCCTGACAGCCCGGCAACCCCCTATAGACCCTTCCCGAATCCTAACCGGAAGCCGCTCTGACCCGATATTCAGTTGCCCAAAAGGACTTGGAAATACAAGGTTCACCTTTTTCGGACCTTAAGAGTAGACCAGAAAGTGGGCTTGCCAAAGGGACGAAAAGTGGGAAGAAGGGCAAGTGAGCATAGTTACCAAAAGCCCCTTCCTCTCACCCCGCCCCGCACCTCCATGGGATCCTCTGCCGTGTGCCTGCGATTTGTTTCTCGGAAAATCGGGCGAGCGATTTCTGGCTGAACTGTGTAGTTGCCCGAGTTTACCTCAGGTTGTGCACTGACAAGAAAAACAGTGTTGCGACTTTGACTCATGCTCAGTGAAGCTTAGACTATTCTCTCAATAAACTAAATGATGTAAACAAACATTCCAGTTCATTGCTTGATTTGCAAATGAGTTGAGGGTTCAATCATGGCCGCATTTCGTTCAACTCACCCTCTCAAAAACCCCTTCCTCCAAGGCCCTGTCGAAGCTTCGGACATGGCCTTTTGAAAATTCCATGCGGAGTCTTCATCTCAGATGCCCAGTCCAAAGAAAGTTGAAAAAGGGGCACTGGGCAACTGGGGTATCCAGTTTGTGCTTCGGCAAATGCAAGCAATGAGCAGTGAACCGGTTTGCAATACCTCTCTTCCACAAGGCCGGTGCCCACCAATATTCAGGTAGGCATATGAGTACACGTCACAAACCTGAAGCAAAGGAGTCCCCCAGCAACGGACTCCCAGTGAGCTCATCCGAATGCCGGGAGTGTTGGTTTATGTTTAAACTTTGAACCCCAAAAGGAAGACCCGAGCCTCGAACAAAAAACCACACGCAGAAAGCATTCGCATCTGCGTGGACCTGAGGGGCCTTTCTCCCCTGCAAGTTAACGAGAAGAGAGACATCTCTAAACAGATGATGTTGCTTTTGTTTTTTTCATGGATTCCATGTTTATTTGCAGAGTATCCACTCCAACACAAGGCAAGGGCTTCTGGTGAAACTCCAAGCTGAGATGAAGAAAACAAATTACCTAACCTGAAACCTGACACGACCGCCAAGAGAGGAACTCCAGTACGGTTGCAACGTGTACCACGCGTGGCTTTCTTTCTTGATGCCTTCTTTTGCAACCTGTTAGACTACGGCTCAAACTTCAAAAGGAGCAAAAGTGGTCTGCAGTTCAACTGGAAGTTGAACCTTTAAACTCTAAACTTCTTTGCAGCTTCAAGTTTTTGCCTCCCAAAACATCCTGCTGCCAGGGGCTGCGCCTCCGCGTGCTGAAAAGCCCACTTTGCCCCGCCTGAGCAGGCGCTGGGGCACTTGCAGCCAGGGAGGCCGCAGCAGGTCCTGCGGCCGGGTTCAGCAAGGGCGGGCGATTGCTAAAACAGGGATCCGGATGCATGAAAAACACCTGAACATTGCCTTGTACATGGTGGTTGTTCCCTTTACTTGGGTGGAAAAAGCCATGTTTCAAACGGGCAAAATGTATCTTGTATGGAGCCCTGTAAAAGTCGGAGGAAATCAAAGGCAGCCCCAGGAAAGGTGACGAGAAAGCTTCTAAGAAGGGATTTCTTGAACGTCTTGAACCTGAAAACCTTCTAAGAAGGGATTTCTTGGAAGAGAACCTTTTTGGGGAGAAGCGCGGCTAATGTCTCTCCTCATGAAACAGGAATCAGGCATCCGCAAATGATTGGCTTCCATGCAGTTGGAGGGTGCTCATGTCTCCGTGTCTACAAGAGAGTGGGGTCTAGAAATATGTATATAAGAGCACAAACATGCCCCCAAGAAGCCTAAACCAAATCTCTCGCGAACAAACAAACTCTTTTGCAGGCTCCTTCGTGGAAACTTCGCGGGCACAAACATCTGAGAGCTACGGCCCTTCACAGCACAAGTCCTTACAAACACAACTGTTCATCAGCTTCCGTCTGCCAAATGTATGTATATATATATATGCATCACGCGCCCCCGTGATAAAGGCAAAACGGGCCTTGTTTTCCTGAGAGTCAACTCCTGAGTGTTTCCAGGCGTCATCTGGGGGAGGTTTAGTCCATGGGAAGTGAATGGTAAGTGCTTATCCAATTCTTACCACCCGCAAACGCCATGGCGGATTTGTGAGTGCCATGTGCAACAGACAAGGTCATCCAAATGATACCGGACAAAATTCTGCAAAGCTGAAAGCCGCGCCAAGCGCCCACAGAACTTGCTTCAAACATTCCATGTCCCAAGAGTTTGTCCCTCTTCGCTGTTGGAAATTCAGTCCTTCCAATAAACCCAACAGGGGGAAAAACCGACATATTCTCAAGCAAGTGGAAGGCCCCTAAGTGGAAGGCACCCACTGCATGCGCCCCCACCGGCGCCAGTTCGGAGAGGGGCGAGGTGGTGTGCTCGTGGTGAGCCCGAGCGAGCTCGTCCATGGCATAGGACCTAAGCGGGACCCATGGGCTCTCGGCAAAAAAGGGTGGTTTCCTGTCGGTGTCCTTCTCAACCGAAACGGGTCCAAAAAAGACCCATCCGCATCAAGGGAATGCTGAGGGGTCAATGGCAAACAGCTTGAATAAAGGCAGAAAAAAGTGCACGCGGGTTGAAACTCTTTGGTTTCCGACCCGCCATGGTGGCATGAACACCTAAAGACATCCCAGCGGTCCCGTAGCAAGGACGCGAGGTGTTTAGAGGCAAACGAGAAACCAGCCCAAAATACAGGTCAACTTGTTGGCCCGAAGTTTGGTAAAGCAATACCACTTTTGGGGAAGCCTACTGAGTTTGGTCTCTTGGGCCCGTGCACTCCGCTTTGCAAGAGGGAAGTTCGATTGAATGGGTCTGTGCACTTCTATGTTGAGGGTCACGAAAGACAAGCCTACGGGAACCAAATCACCAGGTGGACAAATGGGGTTCCCCTTTCAGTGGGAACTGCTTTGGTTGAACAAAAATGATGGACACCCAAGTGGAAAAAAGCCACTCCAGGCTTTTTTTGGGGGGCAGTCCTTTCTGTTTGGTGGGTTTAAAGTGGAACACCCCGGCAAAATTCGCGAAATCCCCATTTTGAGACCCCCTCCATGGTGCGTGAGGCTGTCCCCCGCCTCAGCTTGGCCTCCGCCACGCGCAACTCCTCCCAGGTCCCCAGCTTGGCCCCGGAAGGCTCCGCCTCGAGGGTCTGGAACTGCCCAAATCGTGACGCCCGAAAGGGGCAAGGAAGCTGTTTTCAGGTCGGGTTCGCGTGTTTTTGCTCCCCCCCCCGCCAGATGTCTGGGCAAAGTGTTGTCTGTGGAGCTTGTAACAGAGATGATGGCCAGAAGATGTTGTAACAAAGTGCTGTCTGTAGAAATGAACTACAAGGCTTGGAGCCATGAATTTGGGAGTGACGAGTCTGGCTGCGCTTTGTGAGGCAGAGCTGAAGAGAACAAACCGCTTAGGCGTCAAAAGGAATGAAGGGAAATGATTTCTGACCTTTGGCCTGGGGGCACCAAATTCAGGTGGATGGAGAGGTCTTTGCTTTCTGGCAAAAACATCCCCTCATAATCTACTAAAATCACCAGGCTAGTACTTGAATCAGGGGTTAATAAGAGAAACCCCAGATACCCCCGGAATCAACTTGGCTGTTTTGCGGTTGCCTTTCCACTGCACACAGTTGTTTTTGTTCGCACGAGAATTTACTGTTCCACACAGCTAGCGGGCACAGCCCTCAGACATCAGCAAAGAGATAATTTTGATACGGGCTCCCTTCAAGTGCCACGAATCCAGAGAGAGGGAAATACAAGCTCAGGCGATATCGCCAACAGTACCAGGCCCGCCCTCCAGCTAGCCACGCGAAACGAAACCGCGGCACTTGCACTCGAACGCATCGCCTCCAGCTCGCGCAGTGCCTCGGCCACCTGTCGAAGCTCGTGCGCTTTGATTCGGTTCAGCTTCCCTCTTGGTGGTTAGTCCGGTGATTTGGGGGTCCCTTTCACCAGCACCAGGGAATCGAATCCCCAACCCATCCAAACTGTTTTAGCCCGGGCGTTTTACAACTCAGGCCGTAAGCCTCCGAAGCCCAAGCTCGCACGCCCTGCTCGCGGAAAAACAAATCCCAACGCAGCGGAGAGCTAAGTCGAAACCCAATGCACCGCAGTTGGGTGAAACAAAATGGATCAAGCCCAGGCGTGCACCATCCTGGGCGGCACTGCTAGAAAGTGTGGGGCCAACCAAAAAACGCTTCCCTTGCCAGTGTTTGTTGCCAACGAGGTAAGGGGATTCCAAACATTTTCCTCTCGCGAGCCCAATGCGCAAGTTGCGTAAACAAACAGACCCTCGCAAGAGTGTAAGTCGCAGACAGCAAAACGAGGTCAACGCCGCCAGCATCACCGGGGGAGAATCGAGGCGCAGGCCAGTGCCCACTTTTGCACTGCCCAGCCAAAGTATGTGAATCACAATAGAGAAAACAACGAACAAAACCAGCCGTCGCTTTGTTGACCTTGCAGGTCTTTGGCTCGTCCTCGGAACTCCCAAGTGTACTCTGCTGGATGTGCAGCAACACGTAAAATCATATCCAATCAGCTTCCCTCCAATTTGTGCTTTGGATTGGTGGTTTGGAGGCTTTGGGGTGGGTTCCCATTTCGACAACAGCCTGGGGTTCAAGCCCCCAAACCACCAATCCAAAGCACCTTTTTCAGGGTCCAAGAAGCAAAAAACAGAATCTCGTCATGGTTGCCTTCCAGAACACCCAGCCGGTGATGCTGTGGGAAAAACTGTAAAGTGCGTCCACTGGCTGGGTGAGAAAGGCCGGTGTCTTTTGACCGTGGAACCAAAATGCACCCGCGCTCCACAACCCCGGCCTGGCGTGGATCGGCACATCCTTTGGCGCAAGCCTCCGCCGCTGCCAGAAAGTCGGCCATGCCGAGTGTCCGCAGCACGCTGGGCACCGAGTGCTAAGCCGTTGGCCTCCAAGTGCCGGACGAATCTCTGTGGATTTGTGCTTCCTGCTTGGCATCTGGCAAATTGCTGGTATCTCGTTGTCGGCTTTGTTTGTTGGTATCCGAACACGGGCAATGTGCGGCTCGCGGTGGGTTTTGGCATGGTGTTGGCTACAACTGGGTGTAGTTGTGCTTGTTCGTGCCTGTGCTTGCTTTGGTGTTTGCGCTTGCTTTGCTGGTGGTGCTAGTGCTAGACTTGACTGTGGTTGTGGTGGCGCGTGGCAGGTGTTGTGGTGGTTGAGGGTGGGTAGGTGGTGGTGAGCTTCTGTTGTGGGTGGTGGTGGGTGGCGTTCTTCGCGATTGAGTGGCCCGTTGTTCTGGCTTGTTGATCTGTGGCAGTGGATTCGCGAAGCGAGTGTTCACGGCAGTTCAACAAATGCGGAAAAATAGAAATGAGTGCGTGTTCAGGTGGAAGGCGGCTAATGCCCTCAGCAGTCATGATCGTTCCCAATGACGAGGCACATTGTTGCTCGCATCATGTGCCCCTTATGTCGCTGGGTAGTTGCAGAGTTGTTATGGGCTCTGACGCTCATATCTGCAGCCAGATTTGCTGATAGCTTGTTGATGCTTTGTTACAAGGGCCAAACAATGGCTGCAAGGCACTGTGCACATGTCCATCAACCAATGCTGCCCACATGCAACTTACATCGGACCCTTGCTACTTTGAACATTTGCACATGTCTCAAATCTCACAAGCACTTCAGGCCACCCAAAGAAAGCAAGCATTCTCGATCTGCAGGAAGTGCTGTTGCTAAGCAGGATCTAGCAGCTCGCAAACTCCATTCCCGTGCGGCTTACCTCCACGTTTTCAAAAGAATCCTAGGGCTTTGTAACCAGTTCGATTGCAGCAGCGACGTCAAGGTGCCGCATGCTGATGCTGCGCTTAAGACAAATCCTCAGTTGACACATGGACTCCTCGGGAAGACACCAAAACACCACCCTTGGGGATTTCAAATGGGCCTTTCAAAACGGTGGACGGCTTTCGCGCCCCCCTTCCAAGGTGACACAATCAGGTTCAACAGGGCCGCACCCTTTGAACCCTCCCCCCAAATGGAGCACTTCCAACTCTGGTGAGAAAACCAGAACAATCCAAAGCCATATATTCTTCTTGCTGAAGTGGAAGAATCAGCGTCGCCATGAGTCATGTCGCGAAATTGCCACCAATTTCACCAAGAAACGATTGGTTTGTCTCTGTATGTCAGGCTATTTCCGGCATCTGCCAATACCAACAAACAGCTGCTGCCTCTTGAGTGGGATAGCCCCCAACCTTGAGAGGGATACTGCCCCCGCTCTTGCTTGGCCCATGGCTGAACTACTTTGGTCCAAAGCACAGCAGGGAGGCGTGCTTCCTGCGCAAGAAAAGTGCGTGCATGAGAAGTCTCATAGTTACTGTCGCTCCAATCAGCTTTGCCCACTTGGCGAAGAGGTTGCTGCACCTGATGTAAGGTTCCTTGTGGGTTGACACCTCTCTTTTTCACCTCAACAAACACGCCTCCGGTTGAGGGCAATGAAACCCCCCACCCACCCACCCACCCCACCCCACCCCGCCCCCATTTGTTTTCCGCGAGCGAGGCTCACAGCTTTCCAAAGCTGGGGCAGATCTCGATCTTCACTCCTCAGGGGCTGATTGGACAAAACAAACCGCTGCTTTCAGCTTCCCTTTTGGACCCTTGCGTTTTGTGCACAAAAGTAGATGGATGATAACCAAAAGAGCAGGCCATTTGTTAGATCTTCGAATCGCCGGTAATGAACATACTTTTCGCTTTTCCGCATCAATGTCTCTTAATGAACACTGACCTTGGTGTATGACCAAAAAAGAAAAGGAAAGAAACCAAACCCCGACACCGGACGCCCGGGGATTTTCCTGACACCGTACTGCCTGTCTTGGGTTGCTCAATGAAGGGCTGTGGTTTGGGCTGTGCAGATTTCGCGTTGTCGGTAGAAGTGAGTTGATCAACACTCCCTCAGTAAACCTCAAACCACAAAGGACCACTTTGCAGCGTCCACCATACCCCGTATGTGCAGTAAGGAAGCACCATTGGGTATATCTCAATTTGAAAGGCAACCAAGACGAAACAAGCATTTGAAGTGATTCCCATGTGCTCTGTTGCAAAGTCTCAATTGCGCCTATCCTTGCACCACCAGACAACGATGACGAAAAGCGCAATTCCACAGACCTTCTCAAAGGGCACTGCTCGATTTCAGAATGTGCCTCCGCTCCGCCTGGATGTTCTGGTCCACTGATGCTTTGCAACTAGCCATAGTTTTGTCAAGACCTAATCTCGGAACGTGTGCTTGGCAATAGATTGGCCACACAAAAGTCCAAACCTTTCATTTGCCATCAAAATGGTCTTCCCAAAAAGTTTGAAGTCCAGGAACCCAGGAAGTGAGCCACACTCTGGCTTCCTTTCAAAACCCACCGAAAAGGGGGGGTTCCGGGTGTCCCAAACAAGAAAAACGACGACGACCCCATCCG